CAATTATAAAAAGGGCAAAAGGATAATTGAGGAAATACAAAAGGAACAAATTCCAATTCCGAATCTTCCAGCAGATTTTGTTTGGATGCAGGTTAAAAAATTTATATTTTTTTTATTAAAAAAAAAAAAAACTTTTCCTAGAGTCGATGTATTAAAAATCCAGGAAAATCCAAAAAAAAGAAGGTGTGATAAAATCAAAAGAAAAAAAAAAAAAATTTTTTTCTTCCCCTCCCCATTTTTTTGATCGATGACTTATTTATTTGTCGGCGAAAATTTTTTTTTGTTTTCCAGATTCCAGTTTATTATTATTATTATTATTATTATTAATTTACTCTTGCCACACATTTTTTTTCTTCCTTCCCCACTTTAATTATTATTATTATTGTCTCTTCTAACTAAGATAGTAGGTTAAAATTATTATAAAAAATTTTAATATCGATCGTATTGATTAGGTTTCCGCCGGAAGTAAAATGAGAAATCTTTTAGAATATGCCATAAATGTTATGAAAGATGGGAAATCCGTGGTTTGGACGGGCGTCGGACCGAGTTTGGGAAAAGCCATTTCCTGTGCGGAAATATTAAAAAGAAAATACAACGCTCATCAAATATCAAAAATTTGTTACAACAAGTGAGTTGATTTTTTTTTTTTTATTAATTATTAAAATTAATTTAAATAGAAAAATTAATCGTGATCCATCCACGTTTACAGAGTCGAAGATTATTGGGATCCATGTTTGCCACAATTAGAAACATTAATTGTAAGAAGAGATATTCCTACAATTCATATTCTTATATCTCGAGATAAATTAGATGATGCGGAACCTGGGTAATAAACACGCGCACACGCCCACGCAATTTCCGGTTTTAAGTTTTTTTTAATTTTCTTAAATTTTTATATAGATATCAAGCTCCCGGATGTTACGATGCTCATTGGAAAACGGAAGAAGAAACAAAATTAGAAAAATTTCGCGATAATAATAATCGTCAAGCCAAACAGAGAAGGGCGAACACTTTGAAAAAATTAACCGGGAGAAATAATCATGGTTCTGGTTGAAAAGTCTGGTAAATAAAATAATTTTTTTTTATTATTATTTACATAACGTCTCGATCGAAATGTATTTCCCCCTCCCCCTTCCCGCCCACCCCAAAAAGGAGAAAGGAAAAATAAATTGTTTTAGAATTGCGGATCATTAATTAATAAAATAAAATTAGCAAAATCTTTATTTAAACAAAAAAAAAAAAAAAAAAGCTTGTAATTCATTTAAGTATACAATCGAACGATTTTTTTTTATATATCGTATATTTTTTATCTGATTAATTTTGTTCATCGACTTTGATATATATATAATTATTATTATTATTATTATTAATTACATTTCAAAATAAAATAATAATTTTTTAATTTATTTATTTCTATTTGCTTATTAAATATATATATATATTTATATTTATATAAATTTGAGTAAACTAAAAAAACTTATTTCTAACACATTTTACTATTTTATTAAATTCACACGAGACTAATATAATAATGATAATAACTTTAGTTATTTATGAATGAAACATAAAAAAAAAAAAAAAAAAAATTGAATAAATCATTTCGAATTAAATGATTTTTGTTAATATTTTTTTTACATGAATTGTTTTCGATACATAATTATAATTAAATTTAAAAAAATACTATTGTGATTTGTTTATATATAAATATATATTTATATCGAATAAATTGAACACTTGATCATATATATATATATATAAATATATGTGTGTGTATGTGTGTTTTATTATTATTATTATTTCACAAAACTTTCAAACGAAAAAAAAAACTGACACACACTTGCAAACACACAACACACACATATATATATTTCTTTTGCTTCGATTTAAATTAAAACTAGTTTAAATAATTTTATTTAATGAGAAAAATAAATAATAATAATAATAAATACCATACTTGAGGATTAAATTAAAAATTAAAAAAAAATTATTATTATTATTATTTTTTTTTTTAAAAGAAGTAACGATTTATATATTTTACACTGTTATTCGAGAGTTTTTTGTTTGTTTATCGACTAAGTTTTTTTTTTTTTTTTTTTAAATTAAAATACTTTTAATTTCATTTATTAATTAATTTATGCTTCAGATTCACCAGAGCCTTCCTCTTCTAAAATTGGAACAATTAAATTATCTTTCGACATAAGATTATATTTTGTGACAAACATTGTGAATCTTCTACATAGATATGTTTGACCTTCGAAATCGTTAAATATTTGTCTGTGATGAAAATATGCATGAGAGAATATCCTATAAACTCTTCTGCAAACTGATCCTAATTTGGCCACAGATGAATCTTTAATACTTATTCTAAAAAAAAAAAGCAATAAAATTTCATTTGAACATAACAAAGGCAACAATACTGAAATGTTGATTGATTTAAAATTATATTCGATATTTAAATTATACCTGCTTGGAAAATATTTATTGCTATTAAGCAAGCATGCAGCTCCATCTAATGTATGCCTTGTATAATCTATAGCAGGACATTCTTTGGGAGTCTTGTGTGCAGCACATAAAAATATCCATTGCTCTGTGGCAGTCATTTGGTTGCAAGTATGAGGATGACAGTCATTTTGAAGTTGTACCTAATCAAAAATCATTTTATTTTTAATTTATGTTTAAGAAATTATGAAATTAAATTTTTAATACTTACTGCTAAACCATTAAGTTCCATACAAAACTGTCTAAGATGTTCATATTTCCAAACGCCTTCATCTTGTGATTCAGGTGGAGTCAAAATTAAATTTATATTTCCAGGATCTTTTTGTATTTGTTGTTGAATGTATTGCTGCACCGCTAGAGTACTATCCATTTCATCAAATGGCTCATCAGGCCATTTACCGAAATCCTTAATAAAAAGATGAAAAAAACAATTCGATAAATTTTACAAAAAGAATTAATAAACTGCGACTTGAAAAAAAATCACAACTTCTATACGCAGAACATTTAGAAAATTTTTTGATTTAAACAAAAAATTATTATTAATTTAAATTAAGTTTTAAATGGGTGTAGGCATAAATCCAGTCCACAGTTCAAAAAGCAAATTTAAAAAAAAATAATTGGAAAAAATTTATTATAATATCGTGCATGAGTAGTTTTTTAATCTCTTTTTAAAATAATAATAATAATTACTTCTTTACTAGTTCCAGAACGATTTCTTCTAATGACTTTTGTTCCATCAGCCATCTTCATTTTGACAAACTATCAATGTTGCCACGTTTTTACAAAAAAAAAAAAAAAAAAAAATTTCAGTTACAAACCGTGGAACTAGATAGAAAAGTTCTTTTTTTTAGTTTTAATTCAAATCATGCTTTCAAACTGACAAATTTTTAGTTTTAAATAAATTAATGTAATTTATTTGTGTTATTAATAAGTGTTTTAATTATTTAGAACGTTAAAATGAAACTACAACGGAAAGGTATGCATATTAATTATTATCGTATTTTTATTGTCATTTAATTGTTTTAAACTTTTAATGTCAGTTTTTTCTTCACTCAATAATTTTTGATTCAAAAAAATTTTAGGATGAAATTATGTATGAAATAATTAAAACTTGATTAAAATTTTATTAAAATTGATAATGTATTATTACTTAATTGAATTATAAATACAATTAAAATTTTGTTTTATGAAAAATAATTTACAATTATAATATAATAATTTATAATGATACAATTTTTTTTTCTTTCAGCAAAAAAAAAAAAAAAAAAG